AATTATTGGTAAAAAAAGAAAAAATAAAGCCCAAAGTTAATAGAGGAAGGAAATAACAAAGATCAGAGAATCAATAAATAAAATAGAGACTAGAAAAATAATAAAAAAGATTAACAAAAGTAAAAGCTGGTTTTTTGAAATGATAAACAAAATTAATAAATCTTTAGCTAGACTAAGAAAAAAACAAGACATAAATAACATCAGAGAGAAAAAGGAAATATTACAAATCATACCACTAAATTAAAAAAAAAAATCAAGAAACTACCATGAACAATTACATGCCAACAGAAGAAATGGGTAAATTCCTAGAAACATATAACCTACCAAGACTGAAAAAATAGAAAATCTGAAATACCAATATGAGTTAGGAGAATGGATCAGTAATATTATCTCCCATCAAAGTCATGGCTTCAAGAATTCTACTAAACATTTAAAGAAGAACTAATACAATTCTTCTCAAACTCTTCCAAAATACTGTAGAGGAGTACAAGTCTGCATTACTATGATACCAAAAACAGACAAGGACATCACAAGAAAAGTAAATTACAGACCAAAATCCTTGATGAATACATATGCAAAAATCTTCAACAAAATTCTATTAAACTGCATTTAACAGCACATTAAAAGGATCATTCACCATGACCAAGTGGGATTTATTTTGGGGTACAAGGATAATTCAGCAAATTAATAAATGTCATGCATTACCTTAGAAGAATGAAGGAAAAAAAACCATATCATCCTCTCAATAGATGCAGAAAAAGCTTTTGACAAAATTCAACATCCTTTCATGATAAAAATATTTCAAAAAATTAGTTATAGAAGGAACATATCTCAACACAAGAAAATCCATGTATCACAACCCCACAGCTAACATTATACTCAACAGTGAAAAGTTGAAAGCTTTTCCTCTAAGATCAGAAACAAGATAAATATACCCATTCTCACCACTTCTATTCAACATATGAATAGTACTGGAAGTCATAGCCAGAGCAACTAGTCAAGACAAAGAAATATAAGACATCAAAATAGGAAAGGAAGAAGTACTACCATGTCTGTTTCCAGATGGCATGATCTCACATAAAGAAAACTCTAAGGACATCCCCAGAAAACTCGTATTACAACTAACAAAAGAATTCAGTAAACTTGAAGATACAAAATCAACATCCAAAAATCAATTGCATTTCTATAAATTAACAACAAACTATCTGAAAAAGAAATTGTTTAAAATCCTATTTATAATACCACAAAAAAGAAATAAAATAGGAATAAATTTCACCAAGAAAGTGAAAGATTTATACACTGAAAACTATTAAAAAATTGATGAAAGAAATTGAAGATGACACAAATGGAAATATATCTGGTACTCATGAATTGGAACAATTAATATTGTTAAAATATCCACGCTACCCAAGGCAACCTAGAGATTCAATGTAATCCCTATCAAAATTCCAATGCCATTTTTCACAGAAATAGAAAAAAAAAACCTAATATGGAACCACAAAAGATCTTCAGTAGCCAAAGCAATCATGAGCAAAAAGAACAAAGTTAGAGGCATCACACTACCTATAGTTACCAAAATAGGACAATCGTGGCATACAAGCAGATATATAGCCACTGGAACAGAACAGAGAGCCCAGAAATAAATCCACACATTTATGGTCAACTGATCTTGGACAAACATCCAAAACACACAATTGGGAAAGAAAAGTCTCTTCAATGGTGTTGGAGAAAGTACAGAAGAATAAAACTGGGCCCTTATCTCACCCCCTATACAAAAATCAACTCAAAGTGGGTTATAGACTCAAAGATAAGGCCTGAAACTGTAAAACTACTGAAGAAAACATAGGAAAAAGTCTTCTTAACCTTAGAAAAGATTTTTTGGATATGACCCCAAAAGCACAGGCAACAAAGCAAAAATAGACAGATAGGATGATAACAAACCTAAAAGTACAGCAAAGGAAACAATCAACAAAGATACAACCTATTAAATGAGAGAAAATATTTGCAAACCATATACCTCATAAGGGTTTAACATCCAAGATATATAAGGAACTCAAGCAACTCAATAGCAAGGGAACAAATAATCCTATTTAAAAATGGGCAAAGGGCCTGATATTTCTCAAAAGAAGACATATGAATGGTCTACAAGAATATGAAAAAAATGATCAATATCACGCATCATTAGGGAAAAGCAAATTAATACCACAATGTAATATCACCATACCTTATGGGATAGTTATTATCAAAAAACAAATGGTTATTATCAAAAATAAAAAGAATGACAAATATTGGCAAGAATGTGGAGAAAAGGGAACTCTTATACACTTGGTAAGAATGTAAATTAGACGAGATCGGGCACGTTCAGGGTAGTAAAACCATCCTCAAAAAGCCATCTAATCTTTGACAAACCAGACAAAAACATACACTGGGGAAAAGAATCCTTATTCAATAAATGGTGCTGGGAAAACTGGATAGCCACATGTAGAAGACTGAATCTGGATCCACACCTCTCACCCCTCACAAAAATCAACTCACACTGGGTGACAGATTTAAACCTAAGGAGTGAAACTATTAGAATTCTAGAGGAAGATGTTGGAAATACTCTTCTAGACATTGGCCTAGGCAAAGAATTTATGAAGAAGACCCCAAAGGCAATCACAGCAACAACCAAAATAAATAAATGGGACATGATCAAATTAAAAAGCTTCTGCACAGCCAAAGAAACTGCCACAAGAGCAAACAGGCAACCCACAGAATGGGAGAAAATTTTCGCGTGCTACAAATCCGATAAAGGGCTGATAACCAGAATCTATTTAGAACTCAGAAAAATCAGCAAGAAAAAATCAAACAACCCTATCAAAAAGTGGGCAAAGGACATGAACAGAAACTTTTCAAAAGAAGACAGAATAATGGCCAAAAAACATATGAAAAAATGCTCAACATCTCTAATCATCAGGGAAATGCAAATCAAAACCACAGTGAGATATCACCCATCTCCAGTGAGACTGGTCTTTATCAAAAAGACCCAAAACAATAAATGTTGGTGTGGATGTGGAGGTAGGAACACTCATACACTGCTGGTGGGACTGCAAATTAGTGCAACCTCTGTGGAAAGCAATATGGAGATGCCTTAAAGAGATACAAGTAGAACTACCATTTGATCCAGCAATCCCATTACTGGGCATCTACCCAAAAGAACAAAAGTCGCTCTATGAAAAAGACACCTGCACCCGAATGTTCATAGCAGCACAATTCACAATTGCAAAAATGTGGAAACAACCCAAATGCCCATAAATACATGAGAGGATTAATAAACTGTGGTATATGTATACCATGGAGTACTATTCAGCTTTAAGAAACAATGGTGATATAGCACCTCTTGTATACTCCTGGAAAGCACTGGAACACATTCTACTAAGCGAGGTATCCCAAGAATGGAAAAACAAGCACCACATGCACTCACCATCAAATTGGTATTAGATGATCAACAATTAAGTGCACATATAAGAATAACATGTATTAGATGTTGGGCAGGGGGAGCGGGGAGGAGGGAGGAGGGGATGGGCATATGCACAAACAATGAGTGCAATGAGCACCTCCGGGGGAATGGACACACTTGAAGCTCGGACTTGCGGGGGAGGGAGGGCAAGGGCATCATACCTAACCTAATCATCTGTACCCCCATAATATGCTGAAATAAAAATATATACATATAATACAGAATCTAAGAAAAAAATAAAGAATGTAAATTAGTACAGCTTTATGGAAAACAGTATGGAGGTTCCTCAAAAAATTAAAAATAAAACTACCATATGATAAAGGAATTCCACTTCTAAGTTACATACAAAGTAACTAAAATAAGTATGTTGAAGAGATATCTGTACTCCCATGTTCATGGCAGCATTATTCACAATGACCAAGGTATGGAATCAACCTAAGTGTCCATCAATGGATGAACAGATAAAGAAAACATGGTACTTATGTATATGTGTGTGTGTGTATAAAATAAAATATTATTCAGCATTAAAAAATAAGAAAATCCTGTCACATTCATTCATTCATTTGCAACAATATGAATGAAACTGGAGAACAATATGCTAAATGACATTGTAACCTTTTTTAAACTATGGTAAAATACACATAACATAAAATTTACCACATTAACCATTTTAAGTGTACAGTTCAGTAGTGTTAGGTACATTCACATTATTTTACAATATTCTAAACTCTTTTCATCATGTAAAACTCAAGTTCCATATGCATCAAACAATGATTCCCTATTTCTACCTTCCCCATCTCTCTGGCAACCCTGATTCTACTTTCTGTCTCTATGAATTTGATTACTCTAAGTACCTTATGTTAAGGGGAATCATGCAGTATTGTATTTGGCTTGCTGGAACTGGCTTGTTTTACTTAGCATAATGTCCTCAAGGTTCATATATGCTGTAGCATGTATCAGAATTTCCTTTCTTTTTAACACTGAGTAATATTCCATTGTGTGTATATGCCACATTTTGTTTATCCATTCATCCACTGTTGGACACTTGAGTTGCTTTCATCTTTTTGTTATTGTGAATAATGTTTTAACAAACATGAGTTTACAAATATCTCTTCAAAACTCTGCTTTCAGTTTTTTGGGGTATATATCCAGAAATGGAATTGCTGGATCATATGGCAATTCTATTTTTAATTTCTTGAGTAACCAACATAATGTTTTTTCACAGCAGACATTTTACATCTACTTTACATTCTATGTCTTTATCATTTTTAATTTAAAAATTATACATATGTCTAATCATAAAAATTGATATAAAAACTCTAAATATTTTGACAGAGGTCTTATTGTCTTTATGTTTCCAGTATTTCTGCAGTAAATATGTACTAATTTTTGTAATTAAACATGTATTAATACATGATTAAAAACATATAGTGTTATCTGCTACTTTTTCAAAAATAATAAAGTATAAAAAAAGGAAAAAAGAGTTATTGTAAAAGTTTACCTGTCCAACATACTTGACTGGTTTTCAAATATTTTCAACATGGTATTCAATCGATTAGTCAGTGAATGAGCAGTTTCTATAGTAAAAATTTAAGAAAGTAAAATTTTAAAGGTATTACAAATGACTAAAGTTATAGCTCTGTGCTTATATAACCAACTTCTGTAGATATGAAAACTAAACAAACATAAAGATGAACTAGTAGGCCACATGAATATTAAAGAATAAAATGGTTATGATGAAAATAGCTACCATTTTATTAAACACATATTATGTGCAAGTCACCACGTTATTTTGCATTCTCTTAGTCTTAAAACAAACCAAAAAATAAGATACTGTCACTATTTTCAAATAAATAAATTCAGGCTCAGAGAGGTTATATAAGTTAATCAAAACTATGTACCTAATAAATGACAAAACTGGATTGAGGTCCAGTGTATGTGATCTCGTTATGATACAGCATAACAGAGGACTCTAGGATACTAAGGGAGAACTTCTTTGGTTGCTGTTGCCAAGTCAGTAAGGTCTATGGGAGTAATCAAGCTAACCTATTAAGTTTTCCAACAGTATCAAATAACTTAAAAAAGAATCTAAGATGCTATTTAAAATGGTACCAACATAATGAGGATCCATAATAAACAATGAACACTCAGGGTAATAACACAAGACTCTTCAATCTTCTGACATAAAATGCATATGATAGAAGACTGACCCTGTACTATTTTCTGCTAGATAAATAAGATATGACATTTACAAAGAAAATATTAAATAACATGGAAGCATACAATAGTTCCTAAACATCAATTATATTTTTTCTATTCCACATGTCAAAAGATTGGTGTAGAAAAATACAATTAATGTTTAGGAGCTGAAAAGAGGAGGAAGATAAAAATAAGCTAAGCCTTAAAGAATGCATATAATTTCATTAGAAAGAAAAAGTGAAAAACAAACACGATAAGCATCAGCAAGAAAAGTAGAAATGTGCAAAATATACCAAGGGTACCAAATAAATCAAGTATTTGAAGGAACCAAGTCAACAAGAGGCTTTGCTTTGAGAAAGTCAATACTCCTCAAAGATTCAAATGGAATAAAAGGAGAAGCCAGCTTCAGAAGAATTAAATTTAGAATTTCTTGTAGGCAAGAGAGAAGAATTAAAAATGCGTATGTAATGGAAGCTCAAAACCTAGAAAACCTAGAGGACGTGGATAAATTCCTAGAAACATACAGCCTCCTGACATTGAAACTAAAAGAAATAGAAAACCCGAAGAGACCAATAATGAATAGCAAGATTAAATCAGTAATTTTAAAAAATCTCCCAACAAGGAAAAGCCCAGGACCAGATGGATTCGTAGCCTAATTCTACCAAATGTACAAAAACGAACTAATACCAATCCTCCTGAAACTATTCCAAAAACAATGAAGAGGGTGGAGTTCTCCCTAACTCATTCCATGAGGCCAGTATCACCCTGATACCAAAACCAAACAAGTACACAACAAAGAAAGAAAACAACAGACCAATACCCCTGATGAGAATAGATGCAAAAATTCTCAATGAAAAATTAGCAAACTTAATCCAACAGAACATCAAAAAAAATATACCACAATCAATTGAGTTTTACACCAGGGATGTAAGGATGGTTCAACAAATGCAAATCAATACACGTGATACATCACATTAACAGAATCAAGAACAAAACCATATGATCATCACAAAGAAAAAGTATTTGATCGCAGCCCAAGCTGGACGCACAGCCCTCTTTTGGGAGGAGGGTTGCAGCTCATGCATGCTGATCTGCCCCTGAAGGCACAAATAATAATCTCTGATGTCTTTTGTATTTCGGTAAGATTAGTTATCTTCTTTTTGATAAAACTCAACATCCCTCCATGATAAAAATGCTCAACAATCTAGGCATTGAAGGAATACATCTCAAAATAATAAAGGCCATGTATGACAAAACCATAGCTTCCATCATACTGAACAGGAAAAAGCTGAGAGCCTTTCCTCTAAGATTTGTAGCAAGACAAGGATGCCCACTTTCACCATTCTTATTCAATATAGTACTGGAAAGTCCTAGCCAGAGGAATCAGACAAAAGAATAAAATAAGAGGCATCCAAATTAGAAAAGAAGAAGTAAGTTATCCATGTTTGCTGATGACATGATCTTATATCTAGAAAAACCTGACAACTCCACCAAAAAATTCTTAGATTTGATAAGTATATTTAGTAAAGTTACAGAATATAAAAATCAATGTACAAAAATCAGTAGCATTTCTATATAATAATGACTAGAAATCAAGAAGTCAATCTCATATACAATAGCTACAAAAAATACAATACCTAGTTATAAATTTAATCAAGGAGGTGACAGATCTCTACAAGGAAAATTATAAAACACTGATGAAAGAAATTGAAGAGGACACGAACAAATAAAAAGACATCCTGAGTTTATGAATGGGAAGACTTAATATCATTTAAATGACCATACACAAAGCAATCCACAGATTCAATGCAATTCCTATGAAAGTACCAATGTCATTTTTCACAAAAACTGAAATAACAATCCTAAAATTCACATGGAACCAAAGAGCAAGCCTGAACAGCCAAAGCAATCATGAGCGAAAAGAACAAAGCTGTAGGCATCACATTACCTGACTTCAAAATATACTACAAGGCTATAGTAACCAAAACGACAAGGTATGGATACTAAATAAATAAATAAACAAATAAACATATAGATAAATATCCAATGCGACAGGGAATCCAAAAATAAATCCACATATTTATATCCAACTGATTTTCATCAGAGGCACCAAGAACATACACTGGGGAAAGAATACCTTCTTCAGTAAGTGGTGCTGTGAAAATCAGACATATGTTTTAGTCTGTTTTGTGTTGCTATAAAGGAAATATCTGAGACTCGGTAATTTATAAAGAAAAGAGGTTTATTTGTCTCACAGTTCTGCAGGCTGTACAAGAAACGTGGAGCCGGCATCTGCTTCTGGTGAGGGCCTCCGAAAGCTTTCAATTATGGCAGACAGTGAAGGTAGGACAGGTATGTCACACGGCAACATAGGGAGCAAAAGAGAGAAAGAGGAGGTGCCATACTCTTTTAACGAACCAGCTCTCACATAAACTAATAGAGCAAGAACTAACTCATTACCTGTAGGGAGGGCACAAGCCATGCATACATGAGGGATCCGCCCACATAACACAAACACCTCCCACCAGGCCCTACCTCAAACATTGGGGATCAAATTTCAACATGAGATTTGGGGAGGACAGATATCCAAATTATATCAATATCCATTTGCAGAAGAATGAAACTGGACCCTGATCTCTCACAATATGCAAAAATAAACTCAAGATGGATCAAAGACCTGAAACTATAAAAATACTAGAAGAAAATCTAGGGAAATCTCTTCTGGACATTGGTCTAGGGCAAAGATTTTATGCTAAGACCTCAAAAGCACAGGCAACAAAAACCAAATATGCTAATAGCAGCACTGTTTGTGGAAACAAAAAAAATAGAAACTATCTATATCAACATCAATGGGAGAATAATAAATAAATTATGGTATAAAATCAAATACTATATGGCCATTAAAAATGCTTAGACATTCATGCCAATGTCTCTGTGATATTCCTAAAAATAAAGTTGTGGATTTTAGATATGCATATTTTCATTTTTGATAGATAATACTATAGGGATGATCTTAAATTTGTAAACAATTTTCATTAAAACCAACAAAATATGAGAAGGTCCTTTTCTCCACATTATCACCAACACTACTTGTCATCAATGTTTAACTTCAGGATGTTTTGTAAGATATTCTTTCTCGTCATTTTAATTTGCATTTCCCTAATCACTAGTCAGGTCAAGCAATATTTCACTTGGTTTGGAACATTCTTATTTCTTCTGTGAAATGCCTGTTTATATTTTTATACATTTTTCTGCTGAATTGTTTACCATTTTATTATTCATTTGTATGGTCCAATTAATACTAGTACATTATGTGTAACAAATACCTCTCCAATTCTATTAGTCATTTATTTGCTGATATTGATGTATGATTTTAACTGTCCAGAATATTTGCACTTAGTCAAATTTATCAATTTTTTGTTTTATAGTTTCGGAGCTCTGTTTCATTCTTTAAAGGCAACAATATAAATAAAATCCCTTAATATTCTTTTATATTTTCATAATCATGACCTACATTATACTTACAAAAGGATGAATAAAAATATATTTACAGTTTATGAATAATTACAAAACAAATATCCACACATGGCCACTGCTCAAGGTCAATAACTGGGACATGTGGGATTGCCAAAATCCTAGAAGCTCTCTGTGTGTCCCCTTCCACTCACAACCCTTTCCTTTCTCATAGAGTTTCCTATTGCCCTATTTTTTTCTTATGTTTATATCTTTTCCACCTTTACTAGCTTCCTTAATCAACATAGTCTTCCTGACTTTTAAACTTATTATAAATAAAAATACTCCATGTATTATTTTGTTACTTGCTTCTTTGAATCAATGTTATATCTGAAAGATTAATGGTGTAATGAGTAGTCAGATTTCAAACATTTTCATTATACGATGATTTTACATCATATGAACAGACTGCAGTTTATTTATCTGTTCTACTCCTGGTGAACAACTGGGACTTTCCATTTAGGGACTACTGCAAATAAACTGGTATGAAAATTCTCGTGCATGCATACCAGGGCATATAGACAAGAATTCAAGGATATGCACATCCACAACATAATTAGACAAAGAAAAGCCATTTTGCAAAGTGATTTTACCAATGTACACCTCAAACGTAGTATATGTATGAAGAGTTCCTATTTTTACACATCCTTGCCAACACTTGATATTGACAGACTTTTTAATTTTTTACAATCTGTTAAGTATGAAACATACCCCATTATGGTTTTATTTGTAATTTCATGATTATTAAATGTTATTGGCCACTGGTTTTCTTGTTTGGTTAAGGGCCTATATTTTTAGCCATTTTTTATTGAGATTATTTATCTTGTTCTTCTGGATTTATAGTAGTTTTTTATGTTTTCTGTAT